TCTTTTTTTTTTTTTTATATGTATATCTCCAGTGAACCTAGGTAGCACAGTGGATAGAGCACTAGGCCTGGAGTGAGGAAGACCTGAGTTCATATCTGACCTCAGACACTTATTAACTGTGTGACTCTGGGAAAATCACTTAACCTTGTTTGCCTCAGTTTCCTAGAGAAGGAAATGGCAAACCACTCCAGAATCTTTGCCAAGAAAATCCCAAATGGGGTCATGAAGTCTTGGACATGACTGAAATGACTGAACAACAAATCTCCAGTGCTTAGCATAGTTTCTGATAACATAGTAGATGCCTAATAAATATTTATTGACTATTAATTAAAACTACTTAAGAGATCATCCAACAAGTAATCGAATAAAGAATCCCATTAATGTCATTCCCATAATTGGTAATCTAGCCCATACTTGTAGACCTCCAGTGGTGGGATGGGGAATTCACTATGTCCTATTGCAATCCATTCCATTTTTTTGACAGCTCCAATTAAAAAAAAATTGCTTTATAAAATTATTGAATTTAGCACAGTGTTTAGCACATAGTAAGCACTATGTAAATGTTGTTGTTATTATTATTATTATTATTATTATTATTATGTCTTTTGTTTTTACCCAGCCATCTTTTCCAAATATATCCTTTCTCTTCTGATGAGAGGGCCAGGCTTTTAAACAAAGAATAAAAGAAAGAGAAAGGGTGGGAGTGAAAGAGATAGGGAGAGGAAAGGAGGCCAGCAAAATTAACCACCACATGCTCTAAGACAGATGTTATATGTAATATTCCACAACCTTAATCCCTCACCTATGAAAAAGAGGGAGGCAGGTACACTTTGCTCCTTTCTTCCAGGGTCAACCTTTCTGGTTATAACTCCATGGCATTTAGTTTCTGTTTTGACAGTACTGTTTAGGAACATTTACCTTGTGTTGAGCTGCAATCTGGCTCAATGTAACTTCTTTATTCATAGTTTCTAGTCAGAGATGTGCTGGTAGATGTCTAACATCTGACTCATGGGGGAAAGATTTTAGGTATGACCCATTTTAAAGTTTAATCTGCATTATTAACATTTTTCCATCACTCTGAGTCTAGAAAATCAACAAAACTTTAAATCAAGTCCTGATTTGTACTGTTTGCTGATTCAGAGGTTCAAATTCTGATGCTGAAAATTTAACGATTAGCTCTCCAGAGCTGCTTCAAGTGGCAGCAGCAAAGCCCTGGCTCTAGCTTTGCCCTCCTCAGACAAGAAAAATAGGTCCAAATCCAAATATAATTATAAGGTTTGTAAAACAATTACAAAAATCTCCCTCTCCTCTCCTCTCCTCTCCTCTCCTCTCCTCTCCTCTCCTCTCCTCTCCTCTCCTCTCCTCTCCTCTCCTCTCCTCTCCTCTCCTCTCCTCTCCTCTCCTCTCCTCTCCTCTCCTCTCCTCTCCTCTCCTCTCCTCTCCTCTCCTCTCCTCTCCTCTCCTTTTTTCTCCTCTCCTTATCTTCTCTTCTCTTTCTGTGTGTGTGTGTGTGTGTGTGTGTGTGTGTGTGTGTGTATTCTGAGTCTGAAAGAGGTTAAAGGACTTGCCCAGAGACAGTAATTATTTGAAGCAGGATTCAAACTCAGGCCTTCTAGACACCAAGTCTGGCTCTCCATCCAGCCTGCCACTTAGTTATTTTCACAATTATGTTGTGTGTCCTGCTCCCATTAAAAGGAGGCAGAGGGGACACTACTGGATTCTTAAACTGCTATTGTGTCCCTTGCCACCTTGTAGCTAATTGGGGAGAGAGCAGAGGACTTCTAAGTTGGGGCTATGTATCCCCAGGCATCTAGGGTGGTATTTTTATTACGTGATGCTATTCACACATCACATCATATTGTACCTTGACATTTATAAAGTGCTTTACTTAGATTACTGAGATAACTAATGAAATTAGGACACAGAAAAGTTACATGACTTGCCTATGGCCATATAACTAGTAAGTATACAAACCAGGATTCAAATCCAGGTTTTTCTGACTTCAAACCTAGCATTGTCTTAGAACGTAGTTCTACCTTGGACAAAATGGTAAAAGGTTGGATGACTCCAATTGAGAAAAAAATAGAGTTATAATATCAAGAGAAAGTGGTGCAGAGAAAGCTGTTGTTACCAGTCCCAAAGAAGTAACTGACGCTCAAAACCAGCAAAGTAAACCATTCCGTTTTCATGTAGACGTCACCTAGTGTATTTCAGGAATCTTAGCAGGTGGTTAAAACAAATGAGAGCCAATAATACATTTTATATTCTAGGAGAAAATAACAAATAACAGCCATCACTGAAAGGAATTATTATGCACTCTCAGCCATCTCAGATATTAACTTCTTTTTAATGGGTGGCTAAGGAACAAAAGATTGACCGCATTGAGTCTGACTCGGAAGCAATGATCGTTATGAGACAGCATGGCTTCAGAGAGAACAGCCAGATTAACCTCTTTTCTTCTTCTTCTTTTTTTTTTTAAATAGGGTTACTAGACTGATTGACCATGAAGTTACTGTGTATGTAGTTTACTTAGCTTTCCATGAAAAATTTAACAGACTCTTTCACACTATCTATGTGGCTATTACGGAGACCTATGGGATAGATAATAGTATATACAGTGAAGTATGGAATTTTCAAATTTTGTCCACATCCATTAATTCACCCAATCCCTGCCACACACCTAACAATGATAGCGAGGTATTATGGTGCATGAGGTATTCAGGGAGGCTGCTTGCTGAGCCCCTTTCAGGGCTGCTCATCCATCTTTCACCCAACTCTCACCTGGGGCTCCATGAAGCCATAGCATGTACAGTGGCCACGTCCCAGCAAAATTGTCTGGGCAGATGGGCTAAACCAGATTGAGCCAATGAATAGACATTTAAAATCTATCGTAGCTTTAGTGGTAGGTTTAATTCTAGTGCTTAGTCTTCAGGGATAAGCACAAAAGCTGCTCTCTAATTGTTCAGTGGTCTAAGGTCGTAAACAGGTAATTCTCAAGGGAAGAGTTTCAGACCACCTATAGCCAGATTTATGTTTATAGACCTCTAACTCTTTTGTAGTTATTAATATGTCTATCATATATTCCTGATTCATAATCCAAACCAGTTTTATTATTTATTGTAATCTCCTCAAGTTTAGAGTTTGAGAGGTAGTATAGTATAGTAGAACACTGTATAGTGTACATATATAGGTATAGTACATAAAATGTATAATGATATAATTCTATATTCTATATAAATTGTGTATAGTATATGCAATTATATGTGTGAGTGTGTGAGTGTATGTATACACACACACACACAGCTGTGATTGAATTTAGAAGACATGAGTTCAAATACTGCCTGATATACTTTTTGTGATCCTGGGTAAATCACTTAACTTCTCTGGGCCTCAGTTTCCTCATTTGTAAAATGAGATAATAATGCTCATATTATTACCTCCAGGATTGTTATGAAGAAAGTGTTTTGCAAGCCTTAAAGCATTATACAAATGTAAATTTAAAAGATATATAGAAGAGCTTTGGGTATAGTATAAAAAAGGCTAGTGTGAATGCCAGTCTTGTGGAAAATATGTACTGTTGATTTCATGGCATTCCAACATAAGATGACTCCAGTATGTCAATGCATTCGTAATCCTGTCAATGTGAGTATTTTCCCCAATGATGCTGATTCCAAGTCACTCATGACTATCCATATTGTATGACTTGTTCACATCCTTCAATAAGTTCACCATGGCAGGTCCATCTATTGTGCTGAGGGCTTTTTAAAGTTCTCCTGACATTGGGAAGATATTAGTGGTTCTCCTTCACTCTCATGAAAGGACCAGTCTAATTTCTTTTTTATTTTTTGTTCATGCATTTACACTACTTCTCCTTCATAATTTCTTGTTTATAATGTGTTATAGCTTGCTCACACTCACCACGTTTCTCCCCATTGCCCTTTGGGTTCAAGTTCAGTGTTTTGGAGATTATAGCATTTCACAGTTTCCAAAAATGTGATGCCATGGTGGCCCTTAGAGGCAGCGAGGTGGTGCAGTGGATAGAGTGCTAGGCCTAGAATCAGGAAGACCTGAATTCAAATTCAGCCTGAGGCACTTACTAGATGTATAGTCCTGGGTAATCTCTGTAAACCTCAGTTTCTTCAACTATAATATGGGGATAATAATAGCACCTATCACCCAGGGTTGTTGTGAGGATCAAATGAGGTAACGTATATAAAACACTTACCATGCTGCCTGGCACATAGTAGATATTTAGTAATTGTTTATTTCTTTCCTTCCTTCCTTCCTTTAAGCCAACTCAGTAATATAAATTCTTTAGATGTGGGAATGGTTATTTCTGGGACTTTGCTATTATGAAACAGAAAAATCCTAGGAGAAATAATAATAGCATTTAGAGGAGTCTATGAACTTCAACTATCAGATAGTTTGCATGAACATATACTTTCCTACATCTTATATGGAAATGGCTATTGGCTTTGATTAATAAACGCACAGAAATAAACATTTTCTCCAAGAAACTTGTTAATAAATAGGAATCCTTTCAAAAGTCCATGGCACTCAGGATTAAGGTCTAAAAAGAGCCATATATTAAAATATATCACTCATTTCATTTTCATGTAAGATTTGGTCTTCTTCGAGAAAAAATTTTAGGGCACAGCTAGGTGGTGCAGTGGATACAGCACCACTCCTGGAGTTAGGAGGACCTGAGTTCAAATGTGACCTCAGACATGTAACACTCACTAGCTATGTGACTCTGGGCAAGTCATTTAACCCCAATTGCCTCATTAAAAAAAAAGTTTTTTAAACTTCTCTCCCCCTAAAATACCCCCTCCTCATTTATATTCATTTAGTCCTGGTCTTTTTATGGGGAGAGGTATAAATAGATTAAAGTTTTCCTGTTTCATGAATTTCATTGCTCTTGAATTGTACTTTGTCTGCTTTATTGGTTGTTTTGGCAGTAATTTACAATTTTCTTATACTTGTTCTTCCCATTCTCCTAGGGTGCGACCTTCACCAACAGAATGAATCAGAGAACCAAGCAATCTGCTAACTCTTCCTAACTCCTTGTCAAGCAAAGCAGGAGATACATCTCCAATCAACAGCTCCCAACACAGTGCTCCTGTGGCTTTTGAAGGAAGCAAGACTGAAGCGTGACACTTTTTTTTTCAAGACTTCTGTCTGAAACTGACCTGAAAAAAGTTCCAGGGGTTTTCTTTGTACAAATCCAGTCTATTCAGGAAATGCAGTTGGTATAATTTTAGCAGACAAATATAATTGGTATCTCCAAGTACCACTTGATGCAGTGTGGAGTCTGCATTTAAACCATACACTTATAATGGATGATGGTTATAGAAACAGTGCAAATCTCTACCGTGGAGCAAGGGATATAGCTAGAGAGGCAAATTGGCAGTCTAGGAACCAAGGAATGGATGGCTATAGATATCAGGATGGCAATTATGAAGGGTATACACCCAATGACAGCTATTACCGGGGAGGAAATGAGTCCAACCAAGATGAAGATGCCCAGAGTGATGCCACTGAAGGCCACGATGAAGATGATGAAATCTATGAAGGGGAGTACCAGGGCATTCCCCACCCAGATGACATTAAGGCAAAGCAGAAGAAGAAATCTCCCTCCAGGTCTGATGACTACAGAGACCAGAAAGATCTCATGGCAGAACGTTTGGAAGATGAAGAACAGCTGGCTCACCAATATGAGAATATCATTGAGGAATGTGGTCATGGGCGCTTCCAATGGACACTCTTTTTTGTTTTAGGTTTGGCCCTGATGGCTGATGGGGTGGAAGTTTTTGTGGTGGGTTTTGTCCTTCCCAGTGCAGAGAAGGACATGTGTCTATCCAGTTCCAACAAAGGAATGCTAGGTAAGTAAAATCTTTAAAGTCATTCAATTTGAGAACAATAAAAGAAAAGCCTCAGGATCTAATTTCTTTCTTTTTGGACTCTAAACAGTTTTCCATCCCCAAACCAATAAACTAGATTTTTTTTTCCTGTCAGATTTGGGATCTGCAAGCTAATTGGGCATCTGGACTTCATCCATTCTCTCTCTCTCTCCCTGAGTAGTCTCTCCCTGAGGTAGTCCCTCTGCTTTTGTACCTGAGGTCTTCTGAGGCAGAGATAGAGTGGCTTATTGCCCACTTTCTTGAATGATGCATGGTGGAGGCCAGGCATCTGCCCAGGAGGCTCACAGTGGAGTCAGACACCAAAGCACTGTGAGGCCCAGAAGGCTTCTCTAAGAAAAAAACTTTAGCAAGCTCACAAATGAAACGTGGGACCAGAATGATTAGAGTCAGGCACCCAGTGTCGGGGATTAAATCAGCTAAGATTTCAAATGATATTTGATCTATTTTTAATAAATACAGAAAGAAGATTGGGAAATCTGTTCTGAGTAGAATCTGATTATAGTAGAATTCATTATTACAGAGATTCAGGTCTACTGCAACTCCCCCCCCCCCACCAAAAAAAAAGTCCTTTTAAACACATCAGCCCTGTAGGAAACAAAGCCTGATACAAATGCAGTTAGCTTAGCACTTGGGTGCCTGTCCTTCAGTTCTAGATTTCTAGAGGGTTCATATGACATTGTGATTTTTTGAGTTATTTAGCCATGTGTATCTTATTAGAGGATTATTCAAAATGAAGAGAGCTCTGACGACTACAGCCACTGAGACAATCGGAGCCAGAAGGAACTGAAAAAAAGACTGGGTATAAATGAGAAAAGAAAATGAATTGAGAAATAGAGCTTTCAATATTCTCCCTCTGTATCTATAAAAACAACAACTAAACAACCTCCCATTAACGCATTGTCAATGTGAATGACAGTTAAAAAAAATCCTCCTCAGAATTTCCAAGACATTAATTTGTTTTTCGAAATTACCCACTGAATCCTCCAGTCCCTGTTAGTGCAAATTGGCAGTGTCAGTAACAATTTCATGCTGTGTCAGTGTCTCTGTTACTCGGTGCCTGGCAACCTCCTTAACGAAGCCCCAGTATGTCTAGCTCTGTTGCTCACCAGTGTGAGTGTTTGGCAAGAGAGAGGCAGGGGAGATGAGGTGGGGATGTGTTTGTGTGTGTGTGTCCTGGTCCTAACTGCCGCATTCCTTCCTCTCTCCTAGAGATACACCTGGTCATATTTGTACCCTTCTATACAGATAGAAAAGATAATGCTGACTCACCCTCAGAAATATTCCCTTTGACTTCATTTTTCCAGCAAAGGGAGTGAGTTTGAGGCAGGTCCTATCACAGTGCTTTACATAGTTCCCTGTGACTGAATGGATGTGGGATGGTCTCAGTGGTCTTACATTTGTCTTTAGCACTTGAGCATTTTCAAAGTGCTTTTTCACATATTATTTTGTTTGCCCCAAGGACACCACATCTGGCATGGTTTTGAATCTCTTACTGACAGACTGTTCACCTGAAGAGAAATTAATGTCCTGTTGTACTCTGCTGTGGTCAGAATGTACCGACAGTGTGGTGGTCAGTTCTATGGGTCACATTTTTGGAAGGGTAGTAGCAAGCTGGAACATATTCAAAGCAAGGTGACCAGAATGGTGAGGGGATTGGAGACCATGCCATGTAAGAGTTGGCTGCACAACTGTAAGAGTTGGTTGAAGAACTGGGAATATTTTAGCCTGGGCAGGGGTGGAGAACCTGTGGCCCTCTAGTTTCTCAAGTGTGGCCCAATGACTGAGAAACACATCTGGAGAAACACATCTACAGTATTGTCTGTTGTTTGGTGGTAAAGTGAAGGGACATTTTAGGAAGGGTATTGACAAACAGGAGAGCATTCAGAGGAGAGTGACCAGGGTGTTTAGAATTCTGGAGACCATGCCATATTAGGGTTGGTTGAAGGACTGGGAGTATTTTCATTTGAAGAAGAGAAGGCTTTAGGGTCACAACAGCTATCCTGAAATATTTAAAGGGGAGTCATTGTTAAGTTGAAGGATGGGGAACCTGTGGCCTGGAGGCCAAGTTGCCCACCCCTGGTTTAGACTTACTCTGTTCATCCCCAGAGGGCAGAATTATGAAGAATGGGTAGGACTTGCAGAGAAACAGATCTCAATTGGATGCAGGAAAAACCTCTTAACAAAATTGTGTAAAAGCAGTAAGAGGGAATGGGTTCCCTCCTCATTAAAGTCGTCAGGTAAAGATTGTGCCTCTTCTTGGGGGTGTTGAGTGATTTCTGCACAAGACTAGATTGCATTTGAGGGCCTTCCTATCTGAGATTCTGTGATTTAATCTTGGGTAGGGGGACTTAGTCAAAAAGTCAAGTCAACAAGCATTTCTAAAGTGCCTACTACATGCCAGCCACTGTGCTAAGTGCTGGAAGCATTGAGCAGTGACTTATGGCAGGTATTATTATTATCCCTGTTTGATAGATGAGGAAACTGAAGCGATGAGAGCAAAATCCCACAAATAGTAAGCTGTGGAGCTGGCACTAGAACCAAAGGGTTCTTCTTCATTATCTAGTGTTCCCTCCAGTAGGCCAGGCCTTCTGTTTAGGGATGTAGTCTGTGGAAGGGAAGTCTGATAATTAGTCCCAAGTGGGGATTAAACTCCTGATGCTGGCCTTGGTAGCTTGGCCTTCTAATATCAATTGGACCAGGCATCTACAATTTTCTTCTATCCACATCCTGCTCAGCCATTGATTATAATACATAATAGCTGGGGTGAGCCCCTGAAGAGGCTCCTCAACAGGAACTGTAACAATAACTGACATTTATACAGACCTTAAAGTTTGCAAAGTGCTTTACATATAAAGTTAGCTTACTTTAGTCTTACAGCAGTGTGTTGAGATATGTAGTATTAGCATTATGATTCCATTTTAAAGATGAGGAAATTGACAGTCAGAAAGCTAGACTTTGTCAGTGGCAGGATTTAAACTCCAATTTTCCTGACTTCTAAGCCTAGCATTCTATTCCCTGTGTCATGCTGCCTCTCGGGAGATGCTCTTTATTTTTCGGTATTTGATATTTCAGATCCTTTGAAGGCCACCTTCTCCGTGAAACTTTTTCTCGTCCCCTTAGAAGCCCCCTCCTCTGAATCCCATCATACTTTGTATCAAAGACTTATAAATCACAGAGGTTATATACTATGCACCTAGGTGATGCAGGCAGTAGAGCACTAGACCTGGAGTCAGTAAGACCTGAGTTTGAATTCAGCCTCAGACACTTACTGTGAGAGTTTGGGCATGTTGCTTTTGCTTCAGTTTCCTCATCTGTAAAATAGAGAAATTAATAGCAACTATCTCCCAGGGGTTATTATGAAGATAAAATCAGAAATTTGTAAATTGGCTTGCAAACCTTAAAGCACTATATGCATCCTGTTGTTGCTGCTGGACCTCATTCAGTGCTTGGCTTGGAATCAGATGCCAAGGTTCAAATCCTGCCTCTGTCACTGTCTAGCTAAGTGACTATGGGCAAATCACTGAACCTTGTTTGAGCTTCAATTTTCGTTTCTCTGAAATGAAAGAATTGGCTTGGATGACTTCTGAAGTCTACTGAAACTCTAAATTGATAATCCTATTAACACATGTATTAATAATAATAGTTGACATTTACATAGTACTATAAAGCTTGCAAAGCACTTCACAGGCACCATCTTTTTTTAAGTCTCATAATTCTGAGAGGTAGGCACCTTTGGTTTTATTATCCCCATTTTGCTGATGAGGAAACTGAGACTTAGAGAGGTTAAGTGACTTACCTAAGGGCAGCAGGGTAGAGCAGTAGATAGAATACTGGACCTGGAGTCAGGAAGAGCTGAGTTGAAATCCAGATTTAGACACTTAGTAGCTGAGTCACCTTGTGCAAGTCACTTAATCTCTATCTCCTTAGGTTTCCTTATCTGTAAAATGGTGATAATAATAGCGCTTACCTCCCAATGACATTGTGAGGACAAAATAGTATAATATTTATAAAAGCACTTTGTATACCTTTATGGACTGTATATATATATATGTATGTATGTATGTATTTGTACACACACACATATATACATGTATATATACATATATACGTGTATATATATATACACACACACATACATATATATGTGTATATATATACACACATATATATTCATATACATATATATATTATATATACACATGTATATGTATACATACACACACACACACACACATATATAATTACCCATGGTCAGACAACTAGTGTCAGAGGTTGGATTTTAAGAGGTTGTACTAAGTGCTAGAAGAAATATAAAACTTAGATAAGATATCCTCCCCGCTTTTTACACCCTAGAAGGGGCAGATATATGCTATAGCATATAATATGTTATTTATATTATAACATAGCATAATGTAATGTAGGATGCTGGCTAATGCTTTTAATGTAGGAACAAGAATTTTGACCTAATTTAAGTTGTGTCGCAGATGGGGAAGGTCAAGAAGGCTTAATTTAAGAATGGAATAATAATATGACAGCAGCTGAAACCAAACTTCTGTCACTTGTTTAAGTTGTCTCTTTCATGTCCAGAAACCAAAAAAGCCTTTGTTCACAATTATTTGGTGATAAAATCAATTGTAATCAGATCAACAGAGCACTATGCCAGTGGGCTATCCATTAGGATGTGGAAATGGTTTTATTTTAGAATTTTTGTTTTGTAATGGTTTTTGTTGCTATGAGATTTTACATAATCTTTACATTATGTGGTCTCAGGGTTATACTTTATATCACTGCCTTACTGTTTATATCAATAGTGCCCTCTACTGCTTAATCTGCTTTAACACAAAAAACATTTATTGTGATAATTTTAATCATTGCAAGAAAATGCCCATTAATCCAGAAATAATGTCTTATTGTTCATACACCTGCTTCCCCAAGAAAAACAAAATTTATTTCTGCAAAAG